AATTCAATTGTATTAAATAAAATTATATCAAATTAAATTAAATAAAACTAATTAAATTAAATTCAATTGTATTAAATTAAATTGAATTGAATTGAATTGAATTGAATCAAATCAAATTGAATCAAATTGAATCAAATCAAATCAAATCAAATTGAATTGAATTGAATTGAATGAAATGGAATCAAATCAAATCAAATTGAGTTGAATTGAATCAAATCAAATCAAATTGAGTTGAATTGAATCAAATCAAATCAAATCAAATTGAGTTGAATTGAATCAAATCAAATCAAATTAAATCAAATTAAATCAAATTGAATTAAATAGAATCAAATTGAATTAAATAGAATCAAATCGAATTGAATTAAATTAAATAGAATCAAATCGAATAGAATCGAATCGAATTGAATTGAATTAAATAAAATCAAATCGAATTAATTTTATTCGAATCAATTTGATTTCAATTCTATTTTAAATTTGAATCGAATCGAATTGTTAGGATTCTTACTTGCAGAACACTAACCACTGTACTATAGATTCACAGGTCATTAAATTTATAAAAATGTTTAATATAATTTAAATATTAATATATATCAATAAAGTTTTATATCTTTCTATAATTAAAAAATTAAAAAATAAAAATAAATAAATTTCTATAATCAAAAATCAAATTAATCAATATTATATTTATTATATTGTATATATTAATTAGTTCAATTTTAAAATAGTTTGAAAATTTGTTACAAGTTGATAATAATATTTTAAGTAATTTCTTATTATTACCTAATTTGAAATCTTAATTCTAATTAATTTTTATTAATAATATAATCAATTTAATAAAAACTAAAAAAATTTAATACAATTACAAAATATTAAAGATCTTTACTATTAAAATTTTTCAAATAAAAATATAATATTATATAATTATATCACAAAATTTTGCATTATAAAAAAAGACATAGTAATAATTAAATCAATTTAGATTAAACAATATAATAATTAATCAATAATCTTAAACAATATTAATTAACTTTTTATTTAATATTTCTTTTCACATATTTTTTTATTATAAATTATTATAATTAAATTCTTTAAATATTTTCTAAATCTTATAACTATTATAATTTTTTTTCTTACAAAAAAATTGATTATATAAAAAATTAACTTAATTTTTTTCTATAAGTTAAATATCAACTCTTGATTGTTATTTTAATCACTTTTACTTTAAATATTGCAAGAAATTTCTATTAATTCACTAGTTTAATATCAGTTTCAAAGCAAATCAAATCTAAAATAATTAAAGTATATTAACTGTTAAATAAAATTTCTATATAACAAATTTATCAAGTTTATAACTTTTAAAATTATCAACAAAAATATAAAAATTAAATTATTAAAAAAAAACTTAAAATCTCTTATTATTTGATCCAGAAAATAAAATATTAATTCTATAGTTATTCTAAAAATTTATAACATTTCTTTTTAATTAATTACAAATATAATATCCATATCACACAATAAATTAAGCTTGTTAACTATTATATTAATTTTTTTAACATATTAATAAATTAATTAACAATTTATAAATTAATAATAAAGAATAAACTAAAGCTTATTCATATAACTAACAAAAAACTAATAAAGAAATTATTTAAAATTTAAAATTTAATTGATATTTAGAATTAAACTTATTAATTAATTATTAATAAGAGTTAAACTTTATAAAAAATACTTAAATTTATATGAAAATAATTTTTATTTCTAATATAATATATACTTAAAAAATTAATTATATATCTTTTCATATATTTATACTTTACTTATAATTAAAAAGAAAAAAAAACTTTTAAAAACAATTAATAATAATAAATTTTTATTCCTGGCATTTCTAATATCAATAACAATTAATATAATCAACTTTATTTTAAGAAATTTTCAAATATTTTTAAATAAAATTCAAAATAACAAAGCAATAATATTCAATATAACACTTAAATACTATAAAAAGTATAAAAGAAAAAATTAGTTATAGTCATTATATTATTATTTTCAGAAATCAAGTAGAAGAAAATCAAAGTTGTAAAAACAAAATAAATTACAACAATTAATGATTTAACCTTTTACAAAATAATTAATATATTAAAAATTAATAACAATTTAATAGATAAAAAAATTTTTACTTTCACAATTATATTATTGTTTTGAATAAGTATTAACTATTCAATACCATTAATATGGATCTATTTACTTGATAAAAGCTAGCATTATTAAAAAGTTGCAATAAATTAGCATTAATTTACATCATATGTAAAGATCTTTAATATAATAATTATAAACTCTTGTTTAATTAAAATCTTACATTTAATGTTTATTTGTGATTTAAAAATATATATATTTTTTTTTATTTTAAAGTTATTCTAAAATATGATTACTTTTATTGTATTTTATTTTGAAAGCTGTATAATAGATTTGAGATAGGTAATTATAATTACTTTTCAAATATAATTTTTGAAAAAATAGATAAATTATTTATTTAAAAATATATATATATGCTTTTAGATCTCGAATTTTATTTGCCAAGTATTGTATTGTCAGATAGATGCAGACCAGCTTTGACTTGATAAAAAGATGATGCGTATTCTTTTTAATTAAACATTAACTTAATCCAACATGTCAATAATTATTCTTAAAATGTAAAAAAGTAATAATCTGATTTTTTTTGAGGTATCGAAAATGATTGACTGTCCAATCATTAAGGTAGAATCTACATTATCATCCAAAATGCCATTCAAGACCCACGCCACAATCAACATGTATACTGTATATACACAACCGGGGAATTAAGAATCTTATTAAGCAATACTTATCATTGATGCATCACATTCATTTGAGTTTTTTAATTCGAAACTCACTACCGTTGGTAAGTGGCTTATATACGATTCACATAAACCGTTTTTATGATAACTTTGGCAATATTAAATAAACACATCAGAATACATCGGAAATTCTTTAGTTGATTCATTTATTTACAAAGGAGATGCCATATCAACTCCAAGTTCCAATTCATTCTACAAACAATTCCCATGAAAATACCGCCTAAAAAAAAAAAAAAACCTATACATTTATATCTTACCAATAAACATTTTATCAAATGATCTAGTACATTATTTTCAGGGTGTTGACAGAAAATCAAATAAAATATATATAAAAAAGAATAGAATACAATAGGAAATAAAAAACAGAAAATTTACATAATTCATCCCTTCTCTAAGAAGGCAACACACCATGCACCTGCAATCTATATAAACAGGTAAACTTCGGATTCTCATGATTATTCAGCACCCTCATCATAATTGCTCGCACTCGTTGATTGCCCTTCGAGGCAATGCTTTCCGGTACATTGAATACTTGTGCTGGTCGTCCATTCAAATCATACTCATATTTACCCAAGAAGAAATTGAAATCTTTGAGGAATTCAAATTCATGTTTTCG